TTTTTGAGATGGAATCTTACTTTGTCATCCAGGCTGGAGTGCAGTGGCGCGATCTCGACTCACTGCAAGCTCCGCCTCCTGGGTTCACGCTGTTCTCCTGCCTCAGCCTCCTGAGTAGCTGGGACTACAGGTGCCTGTCACCATGCCCAGCTAATTTTTTGTATTTTTTTTTAGTGGAGATGGGGTTTCACCATGTTAGCCAGGATGGTCTTGATGTCCTGACCTCATGATCCGCCTGCCTTGGCCTCCTAGAGCGCTGGGATTACAGGTGTGAGCCACTGTGCCTGGCCATTACGTTATTATTAACTGCAGTCACCGTGCTGTACGGTAGATTTCCAGAAATTCATCCTGTCTAATTGAAACTTTGTTCCCTTTGACTTACATATCCCTATTCTCCTTAATTCTAACAAATCTGTAAGGAACAGGCTGTTCCAATATTTGGAGTAGGTCTAGGATCTATTTTTCATGATCTCCAATTCTTGAACCACTATCATACTAAAGTAGTTTATCTTTCATTTTTAAAGTTTATTTATTTACTCTTTTTGAGACATGGTCTTGCTGTGTTGTCCCGGCTGGAGTGCAGAGACAGGGTTTTGCCATGTTGCCCAGGCTGATCATAGCTCACTGCAACCTTGACCTCCTGGGCTCAAGCAATCCTTGCATTTCAGCCTCTCTAGTAGCTGGGACTACAGGTGTTCATCACCATACCCAGCTACTTTTTTTTTGTTTTGTTTTTTGAGACTGACTCTTGCTCTGTCACCTAGGCTGGAGTGCAGTGGTGTGATCTTGGTTCACTGCAATCTCCAACTCCCTGGTTCAAGCGATTCTCCTGCCACAGACCCCTGAGTAGCTGGGATTGCAGGCGCTTGCCACCATACCCAGCTAATTTTTTGTATTTTGAGTAGAGATGGGGTTTGTCGTTTTGGCCAGGCTGGTCTTGAACTCCTGACCTCAAATGATCTGCCCACCTCGGCCTCCCAAAGTGCTGGGATAACAGTTGTGAGCCACAGTGCCCGGCCTCCAGATACTTTTTTTTGTTTTGTTTTGTTTTTGTTTGTTTTGTAGATAGAGTCTCGCTCTGTCACCCAGACTGGAGTGCAGTGGTGTGATCTTAGCTCACTGCAACCTCCGCCTCCCAGGTTCAAGCAGTTCTCGTGCTTCAGCCTCCCGAGTAGCTGGGACTACAAACATGTGCCACCATGCCTAGCTAATTTGTTGTGTTTTTAGTAGAGACAGGGTTTCGCCATGTTGCCCAGACTGGTCTGAAATTCCTGAGTTCAGGCAATCTGCCTGCCTCGGCCTTCCAAAGTGTTAGGATTACAGGTGTGAGCCGGTGTGCCCCGCCTACTTTTTTAATTTTTTTGTAGAGACAGGGTCTTGCTGTGTTGCCTAGGCTGGTCTTGAACTCCTTGGCTGAAGCGGTTTGCCATCCTCAGTCTCCCAAACTGCTAGGAGTATAGCCATGAGCCACTGTGCCTGGCTGATTTTGTTTGCTTGTTTAATCAATTCATGTTTCCTTTTCCAGATAAGCTTTAGAATCACTTAAATTCCTAAAACTGTTTTAAAGGAATTCTTTGAGAAGGGTAGGAATTGCATTAAAGTTATGAATTTATTTTAGAAAATTGGCATCACAATTATAAATAGGATGCTATTTCGTTTTAAACCAGGTCATCTGTGTCTTGTAGGATTTCCCATATTTTAGATTTGACTGATCAGATTCCTGTAGTAGTATTTAACATGTTCCTGTATCCCTCAAATTTTGGTCAGGTTTAGGATTTATTTTACTTTATTTTGTTTATTTATTTATTTTTGAAACGGAGTCTCGCTCTGTCGCCCAGGCTGGAGTGCAGTGGCACAGTCTTGGCTCACTGCAACCTCCACCTCCCCAGTTCATGTGATTCTCCTGCCTCAGCCTCCCCAGTAGCTGGAATTACAGGTGTATGCCACCATGCCCGGCTAATTTTTGTATTTTTAGTAGAGTTGGGGTTTCACCATGTTGGCCAGGCTGGTCTTGAATTCCTGACCTCAGGTGATCCTTCTGCCTTGGCCTCCCAAAGTGCTGGGATTACAGGCGTCATCCGCCATGCCCGGCCAGGATTTATTTTATAGCAGGAATTTTTTTACATGTGGAGCATTGTTAGGGTGACTCACCATCCCATTTGCCTGGGACTGAAGGGTTTCTGGGGATGTCAGACGTTTGTAGTAAAACCTGGACAGTTCTGTTTCCTGTTGCATCACATCGGGAGGCATATAATGTCATCCTTGTGTGAGAGGCTAAGACTGATGCGTGGTTTCAGGGTCAACAGCCTGATCCCATCATTATAAAGTTCCCCATCAGTGTGGTCTTGGTGTGTCTGGGATAGACCCAGTTTGTCTGAGTTGTCCCAGGGTGATTATTAATAGTGCTCCCTTGCACCCTAAAAATGCCCTTGTCTGGATCATAAATTATATCTTTGTGCCGCCCATTGAAATTGGTTTCCCTGGAAGCAGAGCCTGAGATAGAGACCAAGGTGTGTGTGATTTTTTTTGAGGTTGGGCTTTTCAGGAAAACCCAGTATGGGAGAGAGGGAAGCAGGGTCTAAGGAAGGAAAAGCTACAGTCACATTAGGTCTGGCCTTGACTTGATTCATGGGGAGCTGTGGAACAAAGATCACACTGAGTCTAGCTTTGAGGCACTTCAGCATTTTTTTTGGCTTTGTCTAAGTCATTCATTGGCTACAGGCCTTGGGGGCAGAGGGCAGGTCAGCTGAGAGTGTAAAGTAAGAGAGGGGCAACTGTGAGTCACAAGCAGCCAGTACCCACAGCAGCTGGAGTATGGTTAGCACCACTGTGCTGTCATCAGGCTTTCACCCCAAGACTTTAACAGCCACTGGTGATCAGAAGGAGTCATTTAGTCTTAGTTTAGTTAGAGAAGCTATAGTTTATTGGCTTGAAAGATGGAGTGAAAACTAATATTGGCCGGGTGTGGTGGTTCACACCTGTAATCCCAGCACTGTGGGAGGCCGAGGCGGGCAGATCGTCTGAGATGAGGAGTTGGAGACCATCCTGGCCAACATGGTGAAACCCTGTCTCTACTAAAAATACAAAAATTACCTGGCTGTGGTGGTGAACGCCTGTGGTCGCAGCTACTCAGGCGGCTGAGGCAGGAGAATCGCTTGAACCCAGGAGATGGAGGTTGCAGTGAGCCAAGATGGTGCCACTGCACTCCAGCCTGGGTGACAGAGCGAGACTCCATCTCCCAAAATAAATAAATAAATAAATAAATAAATAAATAAATAAATAAAAGAAAACTAGTGTTTCAGGTGTTGCCTCATTTCTGTACCAGGTCTGTTTGCTCTACAACAAAGGGGAAGCCCTCTATGGCTACTGCAACCTGAAGGATAAATGCAACAAGTTTCATGTGTGCAAATCCTTTGTCAAGGGAGAGTGCAAACTCCAGACCTGCAAACGGTCCCATCAGCTTATCCATGCTGCATCCTTGAAGCTGCTGCAGGACCAAGGACTGAATATTCCAAGTGTTGTTAATTTTCAGATAATCTCCACCTACAAGCATATGAAGCTGCACAAGATGCTTGAAAATACAGGTAGGAAAATCCAAGGAGGACAGAGAAGTATCAGAGATATAGTTTTGGGCTGCTTCACTGTAAAGAAATAAGAACACTGACATGAAAGTGAGTCGGGGGGCAAAGCAGTTCCTATGTTAATTTCAGCTTTGTTCTTGGGAAAATTTACAACAGGCAACATTTTATTGTATAGAATGGTGATCCTAACCAAAGGAGGGAAGGGATGGAGTTTATCTTTAGCACTGTCACTGCCAGCTACTAGAATCTACCCAAGTGATTGAACAGTAGCTTGTTGGTAAATTGGATGTCAG